TATATATATATATATATATATATATATATATATATACATATATTTATATACACACACACATATATATATATATATATACACACACACACATATATATATATATATACACACACACACACACATATATATATATATATATATATATATACACACACACACATATATATATATATATACATACACACAGTATATCCATCCATCCATTATCTTTTACCCGCTTCTTCCATTTTGGGTCACGGCCGGTGCCCATGTCCGGCAATCGCTGTGCGAGGGGCAGGGGACACCCTGGACAGGTCTCCAGTCCATCACAGGGACACACAGAGACAAACAAGACAAACAAACATTCACTCACTCACTCACACCTAGGGACAATTTAGAGTTACCAGTCAGCCTAACATGCATGTTTTTGGTCTGTGGGAGCAAACCGGAGTACCCGGAGAAAACCCACACATACACGGAGAGAACATGCAAACTCCACCCAGAAAGGCCCAGACCGGGATTTGAACCAGGGACCTGCTCGCTGAGAGGCAGCATCTCTACCAGTTGTGCCACCGTGCTGCCCTACACATATGTTTATATTTTTGTTCATTATATACTAACACTTTTGTTTTTGCTCCCATTTTTCATGAGTTGAACTCAAAGAGCTAAAACATTTTCTCTGTACACAACAGCTATTTTACTCTCAAATATTTTTCACAAATTTGTATCAGTTTGTGTTAGTGAGCACTTCTCCTTTGCTGAGATAATCCATCCACCTCACAGGTGTGGCACATCAAAGTTTCTTTATTTGTCATTCATACCACATGTGGTACATATGTTGGAATGAAATCGTGTACACAGGGTCCCAGTTACATCCAACAAAATTATAAATTGTAAATAAAAACAGTAATAAGATCTAAGATATGAACTAAGAAATATGTTAAACTAAGAATATGCTAAGCACTAGTAGTATAAAAACATAATATACCATAACATACACCCAGGGCTTAATTTGTAAACCAATTGAAGGTGGAACACAAATAGCAGGTGTGTGTGTGTGTGGGGGGGGGGGGTTTGTAGGTCCTCCCCCAGAAAATTTGGAATGAAAGAGATGCCATTTCCTGCATTTTAGTGTATTTTAACAGGTTGTTAAAGCGTTGTGCTGTGTGATATAACTGCACATATTAGAGTGTACTTTTATTGTGGCCAGCCTTAGGCACACCTGTGCAATAATCATGCTTTCTAATCAGCATCTTGATATGTCACATCTGTGAGGTGAATGGATTATCTCGGCAAAGGAGAAGTCCTCACTAACACAGATTTACATAAATTTGTGAACAATATTTGAAAGAAAAAATACTTTTGTGTACTGTACAAAGAAAATGTTTTACATTTTTGAGTTCAGCTCATGAAAATTGGGAGCAAAAACAAAAGTGTTTATATTTTTGTTCAGTATACATCCAGTTTATGTTCAGTGTATATCTATCTATCTATCTATCTATCTATACATATATATATATATATATATATATATATATCTATACATATATATATATATATATATATATATATATATATATATATATATATATATATATATATATATATATATATATACATATGTTTTGTTCAATGACCACAACAATTGCAGTGGTCGCAGCCAGATGAACTGGCCATATTTCAATCTGTGCAATGTAATATGGGGCAAAAAACAATTGGTGAATCCTGTTGCTGTCATCAGCAACTTGAGTGGAGCCACGTGTCAGAGCAACTGAGATTTTTATCTATGACTTTTTTGATTCCACGCTGCTTGCTGTACTCTGAAAGAGCATTTGAGCGTGGGAAAGGAACGGCTCCATTGGCGACGGTGACTTGTGAACTGCCAGAGGGAGCATAAACACGGAATGGGCTTCTGAAAGAGGCTTGAGTTTGCTTGCAGCTCCTCAGACCAGAAGTTTTTTGGATAAATGCTGAAATGTTTCAATAATAACCTGTCCAGTGGACCTGACTCAACCTTGTTAGATATATCTACCTGGATTATTAAGCCTGCATTAGGACATTTAGTGATTTTATTTCACCCCAAACCATGAAGTTTACAGAGCAAAGTTAAAACTATTTTAGTCACTTACCCATGTAGACATTTTCAGTGGAGGTCCCCTTCCTCACAACCAGTTTCAGCTGCAGGAATGTGAGAAGTGTTCATCAATCTGAACATGTCTTAGTGTGCGAGTCTTTGAAAAGATGGTCTCACCTGCAGAAAGATGTGACCCACTTTCTGAACTTCACTGGTGCCAACGGTCACTGCATGAATCAGAAAACGTCCTGTCACTTCCTTTGTACAGAAATTAATTTGTTTTTGTTTTAGCCTCATTCTTTAAATATTAACTGTTACCCATTAGTCCCAGAAGGTCTTGGTTGAGGTCTGTGTTTGTCTTGATGTATGTTTTGGTAAACTGACAGAATTTATTTTTAACCCAAGGTGCAGAAACAACACAAACCATATACCGGTAAATGGTATTTTCGTATAAAAGCAAAGTGTCAGATTTACTTCTTTAATCAAGGTCTTTTTTATTTTTTATTTTTTAACACAACCATAACATAACAGAGAATAACTGTAAATGAGTCCTCGAGGCTCAATGAGACTAACCTGTATAAATAAAGGTTGAACGAATAAAAAACGAAACTGTCCCGCACCTCCCCACCCACATGGGATCAGCCACACATAGATAAAAGTCTTTATACAGGTATTTACATATTTTCAACATGACACAAAAGGCTGCCGGGTGTCCCAAAATCTTTTTGCAGAGCCTTTCAGGGTATATCTGATTTTTTCCAGAAGAATATGATACATGACTTCTCTTATCCATTGTTCATATGCTGGGGGGTGTGGGTCCTTCCAACTGCACAAAACAAGTCTCCTGGCCAGAAGAGAAACAAAAGCAATCGCATCCTTCTCATACTTGTTGAAGGACGTATCAACAGGGTCCACTCCAAACAGTGAGATGAACAGTGATGGTTGCACAGTTTTTCCATACATCACAGAGAAGTTGTCAAAAATAGATTGCCAAAAGGTCTGCAGTTTGGGACAAGTCCAGAATGTATGCGGGTAGCTGGAGTTTGTTTACAATAATTACATGCAGGGTTCATGTCGGCTTTGATCTTGGACAACTTGCCTTTGGACCAGTGTAGCCGGTGCACCACCTTGAATTGAGTTACAGCATGTCTCAGACAGACTGAGGACGAGTAAATGTTGTGAATGATCCTTAGCCAGATTGACTCTGATATGGATTCCTCCAAGTCCATTTCCCATTTTAGTTTAAGAGGGTCCAAACTGGTCTCATGGTATGAACTGAGCAGTGTACAGAACTTGCTGAAGGCACCCTTAGTATCAGACCTGCATTCCAAAATCTTAACCACAAAATGCTTAGAGGGGTACAAAGGTAAACAGAGTTAGACTTCACAAAATGCCTCAGCTGCAGTAACTGGATTTGTTACAGTTAGTGCGGACTGTCGCCATCAGGGAGATATATCAACCTCACCCATGATATGAATTTGGGTCCAAATTTAAATAGCTTTAAAGTCTTGAAGAGATAACCCCACTCCACCCGGTCAAATGCCTTCTCAGCATCCAGTGAGAGAATGACTTCGTCACAGGTGTGATAGTGTGGACTGGGAGTGTATTACACACCAAGCAGCCGCCTAACATTGAAAAAAGCCAGACGGTTTTTAACTAACCCCATCTGGTCAGGTGAAACAATTGTGGGGACCACCTGCTCAAGTTGTTTTGCCAGGACCTTTGCAAGGATTTTTACATCAGTATTTAAAAGTGAGATATGAGCTGCAATTTAGAGGATCTTAATCCTTCTTAGATAACAGTGAGATTATAGCTTGACACATGGACAGTGGCAATATTTGTGCAGCAAGTGACTCTCAAATACACACATTAGTAAAGGTGATAGTAGATTTAAACATTTCTTTAAAAACTTAGATGGGATGCCATCTGGGGATTTCCCATTTTGCATATCATTGATTGTAGAGTTTATCTCAGCTACAGAGAACACCTTCTCCAAAATCTTTAGCCAGATCAGGATTCACTGAGGGACGTTTAAAATCTTTAAAAAAGTTCTCCAAGTCCAATAGGCTAGCTGATGACTCAGTCATATACGACTGATAAAATTTACTAAAACCTATTAATTCCAGCAACAAAGTCCATGCTAAATAATCCAGGTATACAATCCAACATTTTTCAGTCAGGTCATCTGGACAGGTTTTTTTTTTTTTGTGCTGAAACGTTTCGCCTTCGATCCAGAAGGCTTCATCATTCAAGGAAACACACAACAAAACTGATTCTTCCCCCAACAGCTTACTCCAAAGTGGAACAAACCAGTTTTGCTTGTGATTGTGATATTAATGCTTGTGATATTAATTCCAGCATTGTCATGAAATGCAATTCCTTAAAAGTTAAGTGCTATATGTCATCATTGTATGTTCCCATACAATGACGAAATTGATTTTCTGCATTTAACCCATTGCACCTGGGATACACACAGGTGGAGCAGCAGGCAGCTATTGAGCACCCAGGGAGCAAATTAAGGATTATGGTAGGTGTCTTGCTCAGAGACACCACAACATGTGGGAATGGCTGGGAGTCGAATCACAACTTTTTGGTCGCAAGTCAGCTGCTCTACCTCTACCTCATCTCAGCCCTTGGTCGTTATTTATTGTTGGAATAGTTTGGTTGGCTGACTGTCGCCATAGGTGATATGTGAACAGACAACCACATTTTCATAGCTTTCATAGGTTCATAGTAACCATGTCTGGATTTAGAAATTAAATATTCTGCCTACTGAGTTGACAAAGTATTAAATTCAGTTTGAAGTAACAAACATTTTTTCATTAGATTTTGTGAGGGGGAGTGGTTATGTTCTCTGTCTAAGTTTAATATTTCATCTGCTAGCTGTCTTACCTGTACCAAACCCTTCTTCTTTTTATTTGCACAATAAGAAATTGACACCTCAGGAAGGTCTTTAATGCCTCCCAGACAGCACAGAGTGGCATCCCTGGTGTTCGCTTAACTTCAAGAAAAATTTCAATTTCAGATGTAAGAAATATGATAAAGTCTTCCTCAGATAAGAGTAAGGAATTAAATCTCTTACCTCCAAACTTCCACTCCATGTCAACCAATTGGTTGACCATCAGTGTCTGTCCAATGGCACATTTAGATAGTGCAGCATAGTGCTCTCCCCACTGCAACATCAGAATCAGAATAAACTTTATTGGCATTGCACCGAGATACAACGCGAATATGTACGTAGAGTCGTCCGAAGATGGGCGGAGTGCATGAAGCTGCGGCTATAAATAATTAGCGCGGCCTTCTTATTCTTATTCAGAATACTATTTTGCTTAGATAAGAAAAGGAAAGAAAACATGAGGAGAGATGGTATAAAAAAAAGATCTCTCACTCCGTGTCCTAGACAGGGCACAATTTGAGGCATCAAAAAAACCTACCACAGCAAAGCAACATAAACAGACATTATACATTTACATATAGGCGGTGAAAACATTGAATTTTTAAGGGAAAGTCGCAGCATAGTCCAGAGCCCCCCTCAGCCATTGTCCAGATAAGAGGTGACGTTCATCTTCAGCTCAGTTGAGGTTCTGTTACATGTCCACGGCCTTGGGGAAGGGAGGGGTGAAGAAACAGTCAAAGAATCTTTGTTGTTTTCAAAACATTCCAGGAGGAGTTGAGATAAGTCCGGCATCAAGGCCACAGTTTGGGTCAGGCAGAACTCGTAATTGTTGTTTCTGCCTTTAAAGTCTCGCTGGTACATGTTCTCTGATGGAAACTCCAAAACAGCCAAATTGATCCTTTACTCCAAAAGTCGAGCTCACAGCTTCTCCAGATTATTCCCACCATTCATGAGTGCTGCCAGGGAGATCACAGTCCTGATACAGCTGCTCCAATTCCCTGTCACAGCTCCACATTCAGTCCGAGCACTGTCAAGCTTCAACACCTCCACACGAATTTGTAGACAACCAGATTCCACCAACCCAAACAGTAGAATCTAGTCGTCATCATGAATCTAATTTGTCCTTTAGAGTTCAGAGGGTCCTCCTTACCCTGACTCCTGTCGGGAGAAGTTGATCGATTTTGTTGAGAGACCAGCTGATCCTTCCAATTAAGAAGTATGCAGGGAAAAAAAGAGGCTTTTTTAAGGGTTCACAGGACAAAAGAGCGCAGCAGGGAAGTGGGTGGGGGGAGAGGGAAAACATATCTGGTTTCACCGTAGAGTAGCAAGAAAAACCCCGAAAAAAACATAGTTAAAGTCGGATACTTGGGTCTTTACACAACAGGATTTCAGAAGAAGTTGGTACCAGTAAAAGAAGACAACACAGTGATTTTTTTTAACCTTAAGATATTTAGAGTTTTGTTCTGTCAACTAAATTTAATCTAATGTTTGATTGGGTTAGAAGTTTACAAACCCTCATCAGGGGAATGAAGCTTATTCATTAAGGCAGTAAGTGACTGATTTGAATCTTTTGTTTTCCAGGCTGAAATTATTAGACAACATACAATCAAAGATTGTAATTAACAAAAACTGAGTGCAGAAGTTTCTTTCATCCACATTTGGTCAAAATTATACATACACCCCACTAGCATTTTGTTAAAACTTCATTAAAAAGCTGCATCTCAACTTTAGGATTCTTGTACCCATCAGAAAGTTTCTGACGTCTCGCTGGACATTTAACCTCCATTTCTGGCTAAATCTGTAATTCAATAAATCAATAAAGTGTGCATTTTTTCCACAAAGAAACTACACATGGACCATACACCTGGACTGGGGAAACTACACCTGGACCATAAAAACTACAGCTGGACACACAAACTGATTGTTGTCCTATGGACAGACTCTCCCACCTCAGCTGTAGATCTCTGCAGTTCATCCAGAGTGATCATGGGCCTCTCGGCTGCATTTCTGATCAGTCTTCTCCTTGTTCCAGATGAAAGTTTAGAGGGACGGCCGGGTCTTAGTAGATTTGCAGTGGTCGGATACTCCTTCCATTTCAATATGATTGCTTGCACAGTGCTCCTTGGGATGTTTAAAGCTTGGGAAATCTTTTTGTATCCAAATCCGGCTTTAAACTTCTCCACAACAGTATCTCGGACCTGCCTGGTGTGTTCCTTGGTCTTCATGATGACCATTGAGAAACTATCCATTCTTTCATCCATCCATCCATTATCTTCAGCTTGTTCCCGAAGTTGGGTCGCAGGGAGGCCCAGACATCTCTTTCCACAGCCACCTCTTCCAGCTTTTCTGGGAGGATTCCAAGGCATTCCCAACTGAGAGATGTAGTCTCTCCAGCATTTCCTGGATCTCCCCGGGGTCTCCTCCCAGCTGGACATGCTCAAAGCGCTTCCCTAGGGAGGTGCCCAGGAAGCATCCTTACCAGATGCCTGAACCAACTCAACTGGCTCCTTTCGATGAGGTGGAGCAGTGGTTCTACTCAAAGTCCTTCCCAGATATCTTAACTTCTCACCCTCTCTCTAAGGTAGAGTTCAACTACCCTGCAGAGGAAACACATTTCAACCACCTGTATCCGCAATCTCATTATTTCGGTCACTACCCAGAGTTTGTGGCCATAGGTGAGTATAGGAATGTAGACTGATAAATAAACTAGGACTGCAACAACGAATCGATAAAATGGATAAAAATCGATGATTAAAAGCGTTGGCAACGAATTTCATTATCGATTTGTTGTGTCGCGCAATTATGAGTCTTTCACTGCGCTGCGGAGCAGTTTTGTTCACCTGCAGTTCATTGTCAATGCTGGCTGACTGAATAAAGTTTGGGGAAAAAAAACCTCTGCAGCGCGAGTTGAACAGAGCGAGGCGGAAGCAGAGCAGAGGCTGTTTTCAAAGGAAAATAAGTAAAATTTACAAATGACCAACACAGCGAAATCTGTTCGGCCCAAGTCCTCCAAAGTGTGGGAGAACTTCACAAAGACAAAAACTGAGAAACATGCTGCTTTGAAAATTTACGACACAGGAGAACCATGGAGACGAAACGTAAACATGTCAGAGTCACGAGGAGGAGGAAGGAGCTAAACAGCTGATACAACTCGTCATGTGTTGCAGGTGAGTCTCTACAATATTCACATTGTTCTGTTTCCAAGTGAGAAAATGTAACGTCAGTCTCTCTGTAGCTGAAGCTGCTTGTTTGTTAAATGATTAATGACGGTGATAGAGAACGTGTGTTACTTTTTATTTAATTTAATTGTTACAATCAGTGTTTAAATGTGATTTATAAATAAATCTAACACAAAGATAATAATTTAATGATTAAGCTTCAACTTTTAATTTGCTGGCAAAGTCTGAAGACACTGCAGGTATGGCAGGATGAATTGCATTTAAACAGGAATTAAAGTAATTTATTACATCTACTCAAATGTGTGTAATTAAGTATTTTATATATATATATGTGTGTGTGTGTGTTTAATTGCTCTTTTAGCTACTTTTGCCTGAACCTAACACTGTAAGTGAAACAAGGCATTTCTTGAGTTGCTGTAAATTATGCTATACAACATATTTACTCTCATTCCAGAAAACAACAACAAACAACAACAGCCTTCATGATGGACAGACATCATGGACACCACAGCAGCAGCTGTCTTCACTGAAAGCATCCTTAACATGAGCGTCACTGACATGAGGCCTCTGTCGATGGTTGAAGACGAAGGCTTTACTACAATGATCCACACTTTTAATCCAGGTTACAATAATCCACACTTTTAATCCAGGTTACACTCTTACCTCAAGGACACATTTTACAAAGTAGCTACATATTTTGCAGGTATAAAGCATACATTTGTATGTATTTTTGTGTACATTTATTTTTTTAAGCTATTTGACTAACTTTTATTTTTTATTATTCAATATTTTACTAACAGAATAGTCAAATAGCAACCTGTTTTTGTGTGAATTTCTATGTCAGTCAAATGTTCAATTTTGGAATAAAGGGGTGGAAATTAAAACGTTGGGTTTTTTTGCCGATTCATCGATTAATCGAAAAAATAATCGGCCGATGGATCGATTATTGAAATAATCATTAGTTGCAGCCCTAAAATAAACAGAACTTTGCCTTAAAGCTCAGCTCGAGGCTTGAACCTGAGGAAGAACCTCACCCTCGACCCAAAAAGAGCAATCCACCCTTGTCCGAATGAGGACCATGGCCTCAGATTTGGAGGTGTTGATTCTCATCCCAGCTGCTTCACACTCAGCTGTGAATCGCTCCAGTGGGAGCTGAAGGTCATGGCAGGATGACACCAATAGGAGCACATCATCCACAAATAGAAAAGAAGAAATCCTGAGGCCACCGAACTGAACTCCCTCAGCCCTCAGGCTGCACTGAGAAATTCTGTTCCTAAAAGTTATGAATAAAGTCGTGACAACAGGCAGCCTTGGCGGAGTCCAACTCACACCCTGAAGGGGTTCAACATAGTACTGGCACTGCGAATCAAACTCTCACTGCTTGTATAGGAACCGAACAGCATGTAGCAACGGGCCCCAAATCCCATACTAGCAGAGCACCCTCATAGTGTACCCCGAGGAACAAAGTCAAACACCTTCTCAAAGTCTACAAAATACATTTGGACTTCAAAGGCAAACTCAGAATCAGAATCAGAATCAGAATCAATTTATTATCGCCATGTCAATGAACGAGGTTCACAAACTAGGAATTTGCTTCGACATAAGGTGCGAATAGTAGTAAAGTAAAATAAAGTAAAAATAAAGTAAAAATTAAGTAAAAATTAGAACATTACATAAGACATAAGCCTGTGTACACCCACAAATAAAGTAAAATTAAAACCATAACATAACCATATGTACACCCATACAATAGAAAACAATAAAAAAGCTTCGAAAACAGTACAGATGGAGTATTCAGTTATAATACAGATGTAATGTGACCAAAGCAGACATTATGAGGTAGCATTATGAGTGTTCAGGAGTCCAACAGCAGAGGGGAAGAAACTGTTCTTATGGCGGGAGGTTCTGGTCCGAATGGACCGAAGCCTCCTGCCTGAGGGGAGTGGTTCAAACAGTCCGTGTGCAGGGTGAGCAGGGTCAGCTGTGATCCGACCTGCTCGCCTCACAGTCCTGGAGACGTACAGGTCGTGGAGGGATGGAAGGCTGCAGCCGATCACCTTCTCAGCTGAACTCCCATAACTCCTCGCGGATGCTAGTG